CGAATGTTTGTTTTTAGATGTTTCACTTAGCTATCTTCCAAATATCGGCCTTTTATATTAAAAAATTTCGACCAGTGATTATAAGTAATATATAAATTTATCATCTAATGCTTTTTGATTTCTTAAAAATAAAGTGTGACTATTAATAAATCTATTAAAGTTTGCAACATAATGGTTCCAACTAAAACTTTATAAGATTTTTGAAAATCTACTGTTTGCTCGTTTTTGTAAAACATCAATCATTTCTAAACATTGTTAATATTTTATTATAGATTCACAATTTTTATAGAACAATCTAGATTTTATACTTTATCGATCATCCAGTATAGATACTGATCAAGTTGTTAATACATATAAACTAATAATGCCTGATGAAACTATTGGTACTGATAAAATGGTTTTGTCAATGGTTTTATCTGACAAAACTTGATAATATAACATAACTACTAATGATTAATATAACTACTGATGATTGATATAACTACTGACAATTGACAAAACTTTTGACGAAATTAATTTGATTAATAAAATATAAAAATGCAGTAAACCATCTTTCAACAAGCTCTTTTATTATGTTCTCTAGATATTCTGAATCATAAAATTTTCAAATTTATTGTTATTTTATTAAAAAGTTTCAGAGTGTCCTAATTTTACCCACTACTTCTGATTGGCTATACTAATTATTTATTTATCAGAGCCAATCCAATTTCACAATCAGGTGTAATGTAAAAGAAATACAAAAAAAATGCAAAAATTAAAAATTGCCCATAACTTTAAATTCAATATATGAAACTCTTCTACACACTAATAAAAATTTTTTCTTATAAAAGTTTGGTATAAGAAATGTCTTATAATTTATAATATAATGCTAAAATATTAATTCTAGTCTAATAGTACAAATTTTTATTTAAAAAATTTTTTGATTACTAATATAAATACTCCAATAATTGAATAATTAGTATAGCCAATCAGAAGTGGTGGAGAAATTAGTAAATCCAAAGTTTCGTCAGTTTTTTCTTCGTCAAACACATCAGATACATCCGGGTGAGTAATGCCAATCATCAAAAAAGTCAGATAAATATTAAAAAATATAACAACCCAAGCAGATATAATAATAAACAAAAAATTAAATTTATATAGATTAATTTACTTCTATTAACTAGTATTCTATGACTTCTAAAGAATAGATCCTGTTTTTAAATTTTTCTTATATTTTTCATATAAAATTTATATTTCGTCATGAGTTTCGTCACTCGTTATAAGTTTCATCATTTATTACGAGTTATACCATTTATCATTCGTCATTCGTTATTTCGAAGTTGCCTGACAATATAGTTTTGTTATTAGTCATGATGAAAGGTTTCATTATTTGTCAGGCATTATTATGTAATACTGGTAAATTTTAAAAAATTTGACGCAACTGCTATTAGACTTGCATTCAATATAATAAGTCATTCAACTTATATTCAATATATCAAATAATATATCATATGACTTTTGTGGCTTTATAGACATCAATATCTGTGAAGCTACAGAAGCCACATGACATATTATTTGATATATTGAATATAAGTTGAATGACTTATTATATTGAATGCAAGTCTAATGGCAGTTGCATCAAATTCTTTAAAATTTATCAGTGTGAGTATAATAAAAATCTGAAAATAAATCAGTTCTCAATAATTCCTAAAAGATAAATATGTACACAATGCTATATATATATCTTACATATAAAATTTATTATTCCAATGGGTTTTGTCATGAGTTACGTCATTCATCATGAGTTACGTCATTTGTTATTTGTTATTCATCAATTTGAAGTTGTCTGATGAAATAGTTTTGTCATTCGTTAGTGATGAAAGATTTCGTTATTCATCAGGCATCATTAATATAAACCAGACTTAGTGACAAACTTAAAGCTTGTAAAGCAGCTCTATATCATTATTAAATTAACATCCAACATGCTAATTGCTAAAACCGCATTGGTTTTTATTTATTTGCACAATTGGTTACAAGTAAAGCCCATTAATCTTTATAATAAACAAAGCAATACTAATACACCATCCTCAACTTGAAGAATTAAATTCGTCATTGTATATTACAAGTATTCAGTCTAAGAGACAAATAATATAAAGCATTAAGCTTAGAAAACTCAGCTTGAACAGCTATCAAAGTATTTACAAAGTAGTGATATTTCCAAATATAATATGCTTAAATATGCATGGTATTTCTGGAATAACATATTTACTGACCAACCTGGTCTACTTTCCAAATTCAGAATCTATTATTACGTATACTTAAAAATATGAATAGTATAGAAGATGCATTTTATGTAGCATTCAAGAGTTCTTAGCAATTTGTTTTCCAACACCACAACACAACATATTAGAAATTATTGTAATGAACTAAAATTCTTAGAATATAAAATCACTAGGCATTGGTGTGATATTGAATTTTAGATATGGATCTTTATATTAGTGATTATTGAATTGAAACAAAGTAATATAACTGATAACTTATTAAGAAAATTGGCTTTTGCGATAAACTCAAAGTGATTAATATTAGCTTATATTTTAATATAACTAGAAGTAGTGTGGTATACTTGGTTAAGAAATGTAAGAAATTAATACAACTTCTGTATATAGTAAATTGCCTAATGTTGCAGCCGATCTTGCTTAGATAGTATATTGTAAAAAGATAAATAATTCTCTGATTCTAGATAATGCCAATATACACTTCAATATAATACTAAATACTAACTAAACTACTCTAACCAGAATACACAACTAATAAACCAAACCCTAATAGTGGTAAGGCAATGATCGAGACATGGAAAAACTTGGTCCAAGTAACTAGGGTGAATTGGGCTTTTAGTAATAGTGTCAAATTAGAGCTCTTAATTACATCACAAAGCTCTTTATTCAGAATCATGGGATTTGGTCACGAGTTTCTTTTGTAATTACAGATTTTACTTATCAGGGGGATTAGAATCCAACACTTTTACTTTAATTTTGAAGGTTTTGGGACTCAAAGATTATCTTTATTCTTAATATACTTTTAAACCCACTGAGTTAGTTTTTATTTAAACAAAAAGCTAGAACTTATATATCTTTTATATGCTAACAAGTTCATAACGATTATATTTATGTTAACTAGGTTCAACATGTCCATCATGTTGACTATGTCAACTATGTACATATGTTGACCATAATGAACATTCTTTCTATCTAAGGTAATGATCTATTTTTGCCTACTATTTTTTAAAAAAGTTATTAAACAAATACTAACTAGATTTTCTAAGAAAAGAAAACAATTCACAGCTAGAAGCAATAATATATACTATACTATATAACTAATAATAAAACAAAAATAAAATAGAACAGAATAACTATAATAAAAATATATATATTGTGGAACTGTAGCTGCAGAGCTCGTCACAACATGCATAGTATTTGCAAAATTTTTGCACTCAGTAATGATGATAATATTACCTCATTTTTTTATAGCATAACTAACCCAGAACATAGATATATTTTAATTTCTGAATTCTCATGCTCTTTTAACAAATGCTATATGCATAGTCTAGAGCTAAAATTTAGCAAAGTCTCTTTCCAATCTAAACAATAGTCAATTACTTGTTTCGTATTTTAATATTAAAATAGATTTAAATATTATCTGTAATATGTGTGCGTACATTATATTACTATTTTAAAAAGAATTATATTCATCTATGCTAATTTTTTGATAGTGTAGAATTTTTTTATTCAACATGAAAATAATCACTTTTTCAATTTATTGTGTTTACTTAAAGTAAAAAATTTTTCTTTATTATATATTTCTATGTATTATACCAATGCTTTACTTTCTAATTGATTTCTAGACAATGTTTATGATTTAAACACATAACAATACTATTCTAACTCAACAATGTTCATGATCAAACTATATAACAAGACTATTCGAACCTATATATAAAGCTAACTAAACAATATTATATTATTTTTTATTTTTTATCTTTTTTTATTTTTTTTTATTTTTTATTTTTTTTTATTTTTATTTTTTTATTTTTTTTATTTTTTGTTTTATGTATCTTGAGTACTTATTGTAGATAATATTTATTAGTTATATTCTTTAGAAGCCTTTTATAATGCAACTTTCTATCTGGTTTTAGTAATTCCAACCAATTCAAGCTGTTCATCAGTTAATTTGTATATTTATTTAACTTGAATAGCTTGATAAACATGCTAAAATTTCACCATTTGCATTTTCAGCTTTATCTATTTGGGTCAAAAATTCTTCAAGTTTGGGAACATATTTTGAAAAAATTATTGATCTTTGTAATAAATTAGGCATAGTCAGAAATGGCATAAAATAAAGATATGAAGTAATATTTGATGGTATGTATAAAAGAATATTTAGTAATATTTGTAAGAAAATGTTAGAAAAGTGTGGGAAAAAATTTGTTGGCATTTGTGAAGATAGTTGTGAAAGCATTTGTAAAGGTATTTGAGAAGCTATTTTCAGAGCTATTTGTGAGGATAGTTGTAAAGGAATTTGTGAAGGCATTTGTAAAGATGTTTGCAAAGATATTTATAAGAATGTTTGTGAGGGTATTTGCAAGGATGTT